CACACATCTGCAAGGGAGCTGCTCACAGCATTTAGCCTTTAGAAAGGAGTTATTTCTCATTTATTACTGAGAGCTCTCTCTGCCCCCTTTTGAAGGGCAGAGTGGAGTTATTATCCCTGTTTCACAGATAGGAAAGCAGCACTGGGTCGCTTGTCCCAGCTGAAATCCCAAGCACCTCGCCTCCAGCCACTTTTTGCAGAGTGATGCTCCAGTTGATACCCTGCAGGGGACAGAGGCATCCCTCACAGGAAACTCAGCTGGGGCTGCACTCTGGCCTACTGCCATCACATAATGGTCTCCCATTTCACTCCCAGGGCCCTCAGGTCTGCACCTGAATTACAGGAATATAATCCAGCTCACTTCTTTTGAACTTGGGCTGCCCCGTGGCCCCCCCAAGAACGGCAGCAACAGAGCAGGCAGTGAAATCATGTCTGTTCAAGAAAATGGAACAGGTGTAATTTGGATTCCATATACAAATCCCAAATGATTTGTGGGCTTAACATGAAAACTGGCAAAATGCTTAATTATGTCATTGAATTGAGATCAGGGAGAAGATAAACTGGCTCCACTGAGCCAATGAGACTTTCACTGCTGGCTTTGCTGGGTCAGTGTTTGACTCCAAATAAAAAGAGAAGCTTCTTCTGTAAATCAGATGATCCTTTACAGGATCTGATCTAATGCTGAAAGAATTTGGAAAGACAAACAGAAATTCAGATCCTGGTGAACTTTCAGCTTCAAATGACAATAAAGAAAGGAGTGGCACAGGAAACTGAAACCCCATTGCACAACTGGTCTTTAGGAAATGAAGATAATGTGGAGTACATGACATGTTCCCAGGAGAGAAGCACCAGTAAGTGCCATCCCCAAGTGGCTGCCCTGTAAACACTGGGCACTTCTGCTCAGAAATTATCAGGTTCATAAAAGTTACAGATGATTCTATCACGTACCAGGTTCCTTTACTTTCCCCCCTCCAGTTACATAAATTACTAATGTTTGGGATTACACCAGCTGGAAAAAATGCATTAGCACAAAGGATTAAAAACATGCTCGATGCAGAGGCAAAAATTCATATGGTCTCTGCTTTGCTACAGCATGAGGAAAACTTTACCATGATGTGTTAATTTCTTGAAAAACACAAGTGTGCTTTTTCCTGGGTGATGGCTTTCTTGCAGATTTTTAAGATAGATGGTGAAGCAAATGCCATCCTGTATACAGCAGTGATCTCATCTCCCAGTATTGTCAATTAGGGTTGCAACATCAACTCCTGATATAGTGAGGAGCTGGCAAAAAAACCTGACAGCAACCTGTAATTGCCTGTGCTGGGAAAGAGTAACTGTGCACCCTGCAACCCACTCACTGCAATATCCACCAGGAACAAGTGGCCATAAAAATGGGGCAGGTACCACTGGATTGCCTGTTGCTTTCAGCAAATTGGAAATAACCCACAGAGTGATGTTTTGGGTGATTTGTTGGTTCATTTGAGGCTCTGACACCAGCTAAAGTTGTCCAGCTCTGACACAAGCGCTCAGCCAGGAGCCACAGCTATCAGGGAGCAGTGAAAGATGAAGCAAACACAGAAATTGCTTTGGTAGGAGAGGTCCGGTCCCATGAGGTGAGGGCAAGCCCAGCTCAGTGGGAATGTCAGCAGAGCAGGCAGCTCCTGGATAGCCCAAGAGTTTGCATTGCTGCTCCTGTTCCTGCACACGAAAGGGCCACAAAGGGGAAGAGCTGCTGCTGCTGCCTGGCTACAAACTGCTCAGGACTCAGAACAACTGCCTGCCCTCAGCCATTCTGCAGTTCCAAACAACTGTACTGTCTGTGGGGTTCTGAGCAGCATATTCATTGACATTTTGAAGAGGGGAAAAAACTGTAATTTCAGTCTTTCACTGACTCAGCTTTTTAAGTGATGCCACGCTGGAAAACTGGCCTAGAGAGCTGTATCCTGTTCGTCACTCCCTAGGTATTTCACACCTTTTGACCTCCTGAAAACAAGTTTTCCCATCTTACACACAAGAAAAAACAAACAAACAAGCCAAATTAAAAGACAATAAATTGTTTTCCAATTGAGTTTTTAAACCTAAAGTAATACTATTATTAAAAATACCTAATTTAAACGAGTAATTCCTAATTTAAACGAGCACGCTTGTAACCTTCAAATGAAAAATAAACACAAAAAATATTTTCTCCGAATATTTCTGTTTAGCTGAACACAATTAAAGAAAACATCCAAGCATTCTGACATAGTTTGTATGCTTCTCCCCTGAGGCAGGGCTGCAGACAGAAGAGGAATTGTTCCAAATACCCATCAATCCCCAGAAGGCAAGGCCGAGCCATCTAATTAGACACTAAGCAAAGGGTTTATTTCTTCCTTCTTTCTATTTATAATATCTTTTACATAAATCCTTGGGTCCTTACTTAACTTTTATAGAAAAGAAAATGCTAGACATTTTCCCCAGGTACCTACTGAGCCCCACTGAACCAGGACTTCAGGCTGTGACACACATACTCCACTGTCCCATCCATAAAAATGCAAGTGCCACATCCATAAATATCAATAAAAGGCTATTGCTTGAAACAGAAAGAGCAAAGTGCCTTCCAGCATAAGCCCAAAAACATAGATCACCAAATCCTCTGAATCTCTTTGAGTACTTTTGTCTAAATAAAACTGCATGGCAACCTCTGACTTGCTGAGTTTTAGAGACTGAAGGGCAAAGGATAGGAAAACCCCTTTTCAAGATGTAACTTGAGAAAACTGCTACAGGCTGCTCTAAATAAAGAACATGAACACTTCCTTAGCCATCCTTACTAAATTGCCATCCCCTCGAGGGAAAAAGCAAAACAAAACAGAATCACATTGTTTTTGTGTTGCCATAGTCATGAATGTTAGTAGAAATCCTTCTCACCATCCCTGCAGTTTTGGACCTGGAGGATGCCAGAGATGCTCAGCTCTGTCCAGATCATTTGGCAAGGAAATCCCCACCTTTGCCAGGCACTGCCTTCCCTTTTCATGCCAGATACCTGCCAGCCTGGGCCGAGAGCAAAACCAAATGTTGCAAAGCAGGACAGGAGTGATCTGAGCCAAATATGAGATTCAGGGACTCTGACACAGACTTAATCCTTCTACCTCAGTCTTTCTAATTGAAAAAAAAAAAAAGTAGCAACTATCAATCACCTACTTTGTAGGTCATATATTTGCAAAGCCCTCAGGGAGATGAAAAGCATTATACAAACTATATGCACACATGTTAACGCTGATTAATTTTCTCTGTGCAAACATACCCTTTTTTCTTCCTCATTGCCCCTCCTCTCATTATATCAGCAGCCTCATCTGGAGGAGGACGAGGAACTGCTGACAGCTGAAGTATTTTCCGCAGTTGTTCTTTTGAGATTCAGAAAGGCAACCACTCAACACAGCCCTGTGTTCAGTTGACTGTTTCCTTAATAGCTTTGCTCTTTCATGTGTTTCCTCATTTTCTGTTACATGAATTTAAAGCAATCTGATTTCCAAGTTAATTTGAAATGATGCAGGATCCATTAGTTGAGGGTATCATTTGCAAAATAACTCTGAGAGACAACTTTCACTCACTACACTTTCAGATGTGCACTCAGCTAACAAAGGCAGGGCTAGTGATGTGAACAAAGTCAGCAGAATTCAACCTAAAAAGCATGTATGTGTACAGAGGCACAGGGATACAGCCCAACTGCATAAAAGCCTTATAACACATGCAATAGCTCCTCCACAGCCTGAGCTTTACACCAATGAGCAGCCTTTTTGTGACAGTGCTTACACCAATGACAATCAGAATATATACAGCTTTTCAAAAGACTATCTGTATTGGCTGCACAATTCATGAGGATTAGAATTGAAATGTTTTGTGGAATAAAACTTCTGTCTCAGTTGTCACAAAGTAACCCAGGGTGAAACTGAGGACTTCTGTTTTGTCACCAGCTCTGCAATGGCAGTTCCCATGTGATATAACAGAGGCTGCTCCCCTGCACCAAGGGGATTTCTAACTTACAGCATCCAAGACACAGCATTTACTTATGGAACAAACTACACTGGCATAAGTTTCCCAGAGCTGCTGTGGAATTTCCCTCTTTGAACTCAAAGCTTTGTACCTGGTCCCAAACAACTGGCTGTGCTTGCCCAGGGGATTGGGACCAGATGACCTCCCAAGGTCCTTTCCAGCCTCAACCAGCCTGTGTTTCTGTCAAATGGGCAATGGTCTGGGGCATCTTGGATGGATGGCCTCTGAGTGCCACTGCAGCCTCTGGTGTGGACACTGGAGATGTCACAAGCGACACCTCAAAGCTGTCCCTGCATAAACACAATCAGAAGAACCCCGACAGCTGAAGTGGCAATTGCTAGAGGCTGGAAGCTGAGGGGAAATTCAGAGCACTGGCTGAGGGACGGAGAAGTGGCTGGATTTTCCTCCTCCTGTTCACCAGGTGCAAATCTCCACTCTCAGATGTGTCTGCAACCAGTAGCCTACAGGCAGGAGCCCATGTGCATATCCCACAATGAATCCAGGAGCCTTCTGAGACAGCAAAGTCTGCCTTGTATTTACTGACCACCTAATGGAGTGGGAAAGCTGAACAAGAACCCAATAAAAACATAACAGGCTAATGTTCCAGCTGCTGTCTTTAAGATAAAATCATTAAGGAATTTAATTTGATAATGCTACCAAGAGTCTTGGAGGACAACCCTCAAGAAACAACACCCCATCTCTGTATTGAGCTGTGTCAAGCATACACACACAAAAAAACCCTGTGTTTAAAAAGAAAAGCAAGGATTTTCAGTAGCTTTGCTCCTGCCAAGCAATCTGCTCTCAGCTGACTATAAAATCTCTCATGCTGTAACACCAAAACTCCCAGGCAGAGAACACACTGGCTGGCAATATAATGTTTGAAGTACTTAAAAGGGAAGAAGTAATCATGCCTGCTTTCAGAAAATGAGATGGTGGTCTCATTAGCAAAAAAAATTCAATTGCAATAGTTACCTCGGCATGTAAAGGACTCGCTCTGCCACCACAAATCCCACCCTGAAGAAGAGGTTGCTGGCTGGGATGAATGGGAAAACCAGGAACAACAAGCCAACCAAAACTTCTTTGTGTTCCAGTTTCTGCAATAATACAAAATTAAACAATATCAACTAAAAAAATCGAACTTGATTCACCTCTTTTTTGAGGGTCATTAAGAAAGCAACTCAGATGAACATTTGGCATGTTTTGCATTTAAAAGAAATTTTTATGAGACACTAAATTTTTTATATCTGTGCACTCCTGATGCATCTAATATGCCCAGAAAGTGCACAAACACTACCCACTGTGTCTATTATTACCCTTGGTATCTTTCCCAAGGTCAGCTCTACTATATGCATGGCACAGCTATCACCTAAGATATCACTCATATTGGTAATATGTAAGTACAGAGTTGTGTGAATGTATACATTAGCATGTCTACGACAGTGTGACTCTATGTAAATACCCAAATGCATATCACAAACACACAGACTGCTGTGTTCAATCCTAAATGTCTACAACAGAGAAAAGGCTGTTCAATCAGTCACATTTTGTGTAAAGAAAACTAGCCCTAAGTGACACATTAATGCAGTCATTTTATCTCTTTCAAGGAAAATATCTACACTTGAAATGATACTTTCGCACACAAGGTCTCCACAGTCATACAGAGTCAGAAATCTGAGACATGCTGTACGCTAAAATTAATGTTTTTCATTTGAGCTCAGTTAATGCCCTCCACTTGTACTCACTTTCATGTTAGCTGACTCTGTGAGGAGGAGTGGGATTACCACATGCAATTCAAACCAAGCGTGATCCATGGGGCCAGCCCGGGGATGCCGTGGCCACTCATCCTGCCATGGAGAGACCCAAGCCTCCTGAGCAAGCTGAGCTTCAGGCTTAGCTCCACCCTAAGAGGGTAAATCTTGCTTCTCAAAGAGTGGCACCAGGATATTAGTGTAGCTTCAGGCCTGTTCAATCACCCAGGCAGACATCTGTGCTCTCCTGGCTCAGACACTGTTTCTCACGGTCTGCAGACACCCCGAGAAGCTCTGCCATGCCCAGAAACAGATGCAACCACAATCACTTAATGGTTGCAGCACTTTCTAATTGTTGTGGGCAATTTCCCAGTTTTGGAGAGCAAATTGACTTCTCTTTGCCAGAGGGAGCTACACTTAGAAAGGTTGGACAAAGTTTTTGAGTAGAGAAATGGAGTCCCATCAATGATGGGTACTCCATTTTGAGCTGCTTTTGCATGGACTGCAACAGCAGTCACCACTGGTCTAGAGAGTGGCTGAAATTCAGGAATCCTACTACTAAAATATATTCATCCTATTCTATGGGAAAGACAACAGGTCTTTTCTGTGGGTACCAAAAGCAAGGGGACAAGTCAGGAGGCTTTGATGTCCTTTTGGAGGAGCTAAACTACAGGATCACAAAAATGTGCATGGATTTCCCCTGGCTCAAAGAGGAATCATGAGGCAGAGAGAGGAGCAGAATTCACAGTTTCCAGACTTCTTTATCAATATGTGTTTTAAATAGCACCACAGTTATCTATAGTACTCCTATTACCCACTTTTCAGTATCCTGGATTCACAGTTACTAGTGCCTACATGCAGTCACAACAGCATATAAGTACATTTTTCTCAGAGCTGAAGGAGACATCAATCCATATTGATGATGAGCAGAGATGCCTGGTAATTACAGCAGAAAATTTAATTTGGGAAAAAAAAAAAAAGGATTAAAAATTTCTTCTCAACTCTGAATCAAAATTACCAGTTCTAGCTCAACTTCAACTTCCCTCCCCACCCACATTTGGAAATATATTCCATTTTTCATGTGGGTCTCCCTTCCCACTTTGTCTGACCTGATCATGGTGCCCATCTTCTGCTACCACTCTACCCCAGGGGTTTGACACTAAGGAGCAGGAGGCACAACAAGGTATGCTGGGCCTAAGGGAGTGCACTAGCAAATACAATATTCTCAGCCCCCAACATACACATTTGCTTTCAAACAAACTAGCTATCAAACATTTCTCTAGTTTCTGATCATTAAATTAATAATTGGGAAAACAATCTCTAGTTAAACATCTCTAGGAAGGACATGGTGTTATTCAAGGCTGCAGCACTGCAGATAAGCAAAGGAAACTGAATGCTAGAGAAGGACAAAAAAAAACTTGCTCATCAAATGACAAAGAGGAAAATGTGGGAATTAGCTCAGCTGAAGGATCAAATGGCTCTGCATGCCCTTTTTCTCCCCAGAACAAGTCACAGCTCCATGCTAATGCCATTGAGGGCTGCCAGCTCAGTCCCTCGGGCAGGGCTCAGAACCCAGCACACACAACCAGCCCCATGGAGCAGCAGATCCCTCCGTGGTGCTCCTTATTTCTGCAACAAAAACCACCAGGCAGTGCCCTTTTTAAAGCTTTCCATTAAGGCAGAGGCCTTTGGGAAGAGCTGGTCCTCAAAGCCAGGCTTCAGCTGGTTCTGGGCAATGTGTGGTTGTGCCTGTGAGCCACTCGTGGGGCTGCAGGAGCAGAGGGCAGCAGCACCTCCCATGCAACACAAGCCATAGGAAATCCCCTCCATGTGTTTTTCTAAATAAAACAAATCCAACCTATGCATAACCTGTTGCATTTTCCTGGCAAAGAAATAAAATAAATATTAGGATCATTTCTTTGGTTTAACTACTTTGGCCATATGATCCCACTTGAGATAGCTGAGGTAAAGGTGTCAGAATCAGCATCTTCCAGGTGCCCAGAGCAGTAGTAAAAGCTTTTAAAGAGTAATAGGCAATTGTGTTTGTCTTCCTTTCTCCTTAAAATAAAATAGCTAGGGCTAGAAATTATAGATCACTGCATTCAGAGAGACAATTCCTTTCCCCTTAAAGACAGTGCTTCCTTTTGGAAATACAAAGCTTGTCTTGCTGTCACTGTAGTCTCTGGTGGGGGGAATCACCAAACACATTTGAATTAACTTCAGAATGATTTCTCTTGTCAAAGACAAACCAACTTCAAATCAAAATAGCATTTGTTATAGTAAATGGCTTCGTAGGAGGGAGGCATTTTGAAATTCATATCTAGCTCATTACAATTAGGCCTTCATTATACTGTAACAAAAAAAAAAAAACACCAATAAAACAACAAACCAAACCAAAACTGATTTGAAAAAGAACTTTCTAACTTTTATTTCACAGACTTATCAAAGAACAAAAGAAAGCTATTTCTCCCAAGGGCAATGCAAAATAAGTGTCCCACAGTCTCAAGCAGAATATCAAAGAATCACTCCAAGGTCAAACATGATCAATACGGCAATAAATCTCAAAAACTGCTTCCTTAGCAATGTGGGGGAAAAGGAAGAAACTCTAGAATTTATAACTTCAGAGATCTTTCCATTTTATATCCCATATTCCACTAAAGCACAAGTCTTGTACAAGACAGAACCCTCTAAGTGTGAGCGCAGGAGGAGCACAGATCACTTCAGCATTACTGCCATAACTGTGGCCTTGCATCAGTGCATTCCTTACTCTTGCCCTGGAGGAGGCATGGTCAGAGGTGCCAGATCCATGAAGTCTGTGCTGTGCTGACAGCACTGATGTTCCAAGGGCTGAGGCACTGGAAAGCAGAGCTGTGAGGACAGCATTTCTCCTGGCTGGACTGAGCTGCACCTCAGGGAAGACAACAGCTGGGCAAAGAAATCCAAGCAAATTCCATTCTGTTCTACCTCAGAATGTTTCTGAAGGTGTTTATACTTGCTTGCCTGTTTGATGGAAAGGCAATCAAACGGGTTTAATTCCTTCTTCTAACTGTTTGGGTTTTTTTGAGAATGAGAGAATTGTCACCTCTCCACCATTTAGATCCAACATCTCCATGGAGTGAAGATCTCCTTCCTACCAAAGGCATCAATCCCTGTGACAAAGAGCTCTGGATGGCCCAGTGCAGTGAGATGTTCTGCTTGGAACACCTGACTACATGCACAGAAAAGTTGCATCCAGGAAAGCTGGTAGTGCACAGCTGTACCAAAGCAATGATTGCTATTACACATTTTCAAACCCTTCCAGGCCTGAGAGGTAAGTGCATTATCCATCAGAAGAGACACAGAGGCCCAGAGAAGCTGCATGACTCTCTGCAGACCACAGACAGAGGATGGCACTTCTTCAGTTTATTCCTAACATCCATTTGTACAAACCCTAAGTGCAGACTGCACACAACCCTGCTTCATCTATTCCTGCTGTGCCACTCTCTCCAGTGGCTCAGCGATGTGACTCCTCAGCAGCCTGCACCAAACCACTGTGAGCACCTCACCTGGCAAGAGGTCAGCATCTGCAAACACCCACTCCTGCACTTTCCCCATACACAGCATTAAAGATAAAAGGGATGGTGTAGAAGCATGTCAAACTCACTCTCCATTCATGCATAAGGTGATAAAAAGAAAGCATTAAGCTAATCAGGAATTAACCCTAGGGATTGATTCCTTCAGAGGAAAAAAACCAAATCTCTGTGGTTGTAAAGCTGACAGGAGCTGTGGGTGTTTGCAGGTCTCACCTGCCTGGTGCACACACAGATGGGCCACGGCAGAGCTGTACCACGCTCCATGCTCCATCAGCATTGCTCTCCTTCAGGACACCAGCAGAAACCTGGATGGGACACACACACCTTGATCTACCGTGACCAAACTGTGGTTATTTCACTCTGCTGCCTGTGCCACTGCTTCCAAGTGAATGATGCCAAAAGTCAGGTGTCAACAGATGGTCTGAAAAACTCAACCATTTGGTAAGCAAAAGGTAACTTACCAGCTTCAAAACTGGCTCAGACACCTGTCTTAATCAGCTTGCTCCTAGAAAAACAGCCACAAATTCTGTAATCACCACACTTTATTAGGAGTTTTATTTTCTCACCTCATTAAAAAAAAAAAAATTAAAAATCAGCATCTTGAGTAGCTCCAGCTACTTGAATGCCAGGCTTAGTAACTCACTCATTTCCTAAAATAACTAAATTTTTCTTGGTGATCATCTAGTTTTGATAGAAATAGCCATAGATTTCTAATGCTATTTTGATAATCACTGCTGACTGTGTATTAACTACCTGACACACTGACACTATTTC